ATTTAAAAAAACTATGCTGGAGATGTGGGCGGGACGGTACAATTCCTACAACACTACTATAAGGCGATACCTCAAATGGGCTGCCGTATTTTCGGAAAAAGTAGTCGAGATTGAACCAGACCGACGAGGTGCGTGACGTAAAGATACCTAGTTTCGTCCCCTCTTCGCTTCGCTCCCTCAAGGGCGCGAGGCCTAGAAGACGCGTGGCCGTTCCCTCTCTTTCTCGGAGAAACACGACGTCAACATTCCTGCCAAATGCGCCTCTTTTTTTTTTTTTTGAAAAATACTGTCATCCGTTCCAGATATCGCGGTATGAGTGATGTTTTGGTGTTTGTAGCATCCTGTTGCACGATTTTGCCGCGTGTTGGGGGGATTCCAGATTTCGGTTCAGCATCCCTTTAAAGGAGGAACTCGCGTTTATCATATTTGTTCTATAAAGGGATGACATTTCGTCCCCTAAGAAGTCAGGAAAGTTGCCATATATTTTTTCTTGTGGAGAAAACGTTCCTCCCCTAAGGAAGCAAAAAAATTGCCGCCTTTTTTCGTCCAATAGAGGAAAGTTTCTCCCCTAGTGTAATTAATATAGCTTCCACCAGATGGTGCTCAAAATGAAAAAAAAAAACTTTTTGGAGAAGCGTTAATATGCTTTTTAATGTTCCCCCGACATTTAAACGCTACGTGGTAGTTACGCATCATTCCTGAGCACACATAATACACGAAACGCATGCAAAGTCCCCCCCCCCCCCCACACACACACACAACAACAACACCGCAGCGACACCGAACCCCCGCCCCTCCCTTTTTTTCTTTTCTCTTTATTGCCGGATTTGGGTACGTCAAACAGATAAAAACACGACCAGAACACAAAACGAGAGATAATGCTAAAATTGCCAGCTGGTCTCGGCTAGCATTGTGGGGCTAAAACTTGCTCATTTTAAACAACTTTTCAATGCAGGGCAGCCACTCAAGCGTGCATTTCTGAGCCTTATGAACATCAACAAATGAATTTATACTTTCGCGGGAATACTTTGTAGCTTCACGCACATCACGGGCTGCGTGGAGCACAGCCATTCTAGACCTCCAAATACTATGCAGGCCAAGCAACGTAACATGCTCGAATGGGGCGGGTCCTTCGTTTTCTACCGGCAGGTACCTAATCCCGTGAGAGTCAAGTGGTAAGTCTTTCTTCAAAGTGCGCTGTAGGACATCCCAAAGGAAGTCGCCATCTCAACACTCCAAGAAGACGTGTTCAATAGTCTCTGGCTTTTGACATAAGAAACAATGAATACCCCACGGCACAAACAGGCCCCTCTCCTCCATTCATGTTTTAATTGGTGAGATACCGGTACGTTATTTAAAGAAAATGACTTGACCCACGGTGGTGCTCTCATCTTTTTCACACGTTTCAAGACGTCCTGTCCTGGGCCTTCACAGTACAATGCCCTGTACAAGTGAACAGAAAAACAGCTTCGAAACAACTTTATACACCCGCTTAAGTGTTACTGCGCTCGAATACTCGGTAGAAAAACGAGCCGCCAAAAAGCGGCATGATGCGACAACTTCTTTGAGGTACCCATGAGTACCGCCGGTCACACTGGATGAGGAAGCCACGAACTCAGACAAACATCGACCTAATCTTACTTGACAAACAGTGCGCAAAAATGGATCACTAACATCACAAAAATCACAAACACGGTTTAGCATTTGCCGCGAAAACAAGTGAGATACGCCTAGTCCTCCTTCGCGAACTCTTCGAAAAAGGCTCATTCCGCTCGTTCGCTCCCAAGACGAGCCCCAAATGAACACCGGAGAAACACGGCGCAGTTTTTGCACGTTCACACGAGAGTGGTGTAACACCTCCAAAGCGTACCACAGTTTGCTAACAAGAAATAAATTGCAAACTGTGGCACACGCAAAAATCGAAAAACCATTACAGCTCCATTTTTCTGCTTTCTCGCGAAGCTTTACTGCTTGACTACGCCAATAGTCTTCACTCTCGGTAATACTCAAGGGGCACTTCTAAGTACTTTACAGGAGTGGTGACCCATTTAACATTGGCAAACACACTTGGGGTACAACTCCATTCTCCATGCCAGAAGCCCAGACATTTACCCCAGTTGACCGCAGCACCACTTAAACGACAAAAATGTTTGACTGTATTGACAACTCTGATGGCACTCTCGTGATTCCTACAGAAAATGGCAAGGTCGTCCTCATAAGCAATAACCCGTAACTCAGATGAATATGATTTGAACCCACTGACACTGTCACGCCTTATATTTCTTAAACAGAGTGATTCCAAGTAGATGCAAAAAAGGAGGTGAGAAGGAACACCCTTGACGAGCAGAACGCTGCACTTGAATTCGCTTCCCGACGGACTGATTTATTAAAAGCTCGTTGTACAGCCGTTATAGGCCATGCGCACGCCTTCGCGTATCACAGAGTCATTATTATGACTCTGTGACTCTAATGACTCTATGACAGAGTCACAGAGTCATTATTTGACTCTGTGACTCTGTGATACGCCTTCGCGTATCACAGAGTCACAGAGTCAGAACACCCAACAACACGTCGTTCGGTACACGATCAAACACTTTCTCTAGGTCTATTTGTAGTATGCACGCCACAATGCATGGCGTCGCAACACTCCAACACGCTCCGTGTTTTATGGACATTTTTGAAGATGGTCCTGCCTTTAATCCCGCATGTTTGGTGGGGGCCAACTATTTCCGCAATTACAGTCCGTAACCTCCTGGCCAATATCTTCATAAGTATTTTATAACCAACATTAGTTAGACTGATAGGTCTATACGAAGTTACCTGCCAAAGTTTGACAATGTCATCAAATTCAGGATTAAAATGGCGAGGGACGACAAAAAGGATGGAAGTAGGACACCTAGTTTGGAAGCCTTATTGAAGACACTGGCCAGTACTATTGACAGTGAATGATTCAGAGCTTTATAAAATGCAGCGCTGAGCCCGTCTGGTTTAGGGGACCTTCCCGGGTTCAAGGCTTCAGTGACAAACAAAACATACTCGACAATGATGGCCGCTTCCAAAATCTCTTTTGTTTCGTTGCCTAACCGCGGCATTAAAGGCAAAAAGTTGCGTTTAAAGCTATCCCCATAAACTGAACTCGACGCGAATAAGGTACTGCAGTAATTTAAAAAAGTCCGCTCGATTTTTGCCTTTTTCTCGTAACTGCACCGTCACGTTCGACCTCCGTTAAGTAATTAGAGATAGAAATGCCTTCTCCAGTCATGTCTCCGTGAGATATAACACCTTGAATGAACACCCGACAACTAAAACAAACTCACACTCCCTCGTTTTGATACTCGAACACATTTTGTTCACAAACAGTACACGCCATTGATTTATTAATTACTGGTGGTCGCAGGATAACGCCGAATGTTTTTTACACTCTCACAAAAAGGGCGAAATAGACATCTGGCCGGCCACATTTTATGCTTGGTTAAGTACCTCGAAGTCTTCAATATTGACACATATATATGAAAAGAAGCGCAGCTATCGCACTTGGACACAAGTTTGGTGCACGTGGCAGACTTGTTTTTCAGAGTAGGGGCCACAAAGTATGAAAAGCCCGAAACCGTTGTGCTGGGATTCAGTCTGGAAATGAAGAGCGCACAAAGTCGTGGCGCTCGCGGTGCGGAGCCCAGCTTGCTGGCAGCGTTCTCACCCTCGGAAGGTTGATGCGTCCTTCTTCCCTTCTTCTTGTGACGGTGATGAATCCCTCGTCGTCCACGGGTCCCGTGCGGCTCTGTTTCGAGTTAGCATACCCGTCAGCGACCGCCGCAGTGGAAGAGCGCACGCTTGCACAGTTTCCATCGCCACTTGCGTCAGGACAACTCGCTGAGGGCACTGGCGTCTTCGGAGCAGTCGCCGAGGAAAATTGGCTTCTTCAAAGTAGTGGCAAAGTTTTTTCATGATACAAATGTGGCGGACGGTTTTTCGCCGACAAAAAGCATTACAAGTCGACAATGATGATAAAACCAACCCTCGTGTAGACTGTGCATATACCACATTGAAGAACGGCCCTGCAGATGACGTCATCTTTAGTGAATGCCCAGCCCTACCCAAGCGGCAAACACGGGAAGCTTGATATGAGTCACGCAGAGACAGAGGCGTTCGTCTTTGCGTTGCCGTGTGCTAGGGTCGCGCTCTTCATGAGACGTTCCGGGGTGCGATGGCGGCGATGCTGACGCTCACTAGAGGTGACCTCGCGTATCTACTAGGGCGGATACACGCGTGTATTCAAGTTGTGTGTCCGCAGCCGTTGTCTATCTAGGTGATATTGACTGTGCGGCCTCTCGCATGAGATACGTGAAGCGGTGCCTCTGCACAGTCGGTCAAGGAATCAGTTATCTAATTAGGCGGAGCGTCTACAACTCGCGATCTCGGTTCCTTCTTCTGCCGTTTCCGCAATTATCCCAAGGCTCCCGCTAGACCCATCTGCGTGGGGAAGTGCGTTTAAGTGTACAGCACCAGATTTCAGTGAAAGCGTTTTCGGGCATAGTTGTACCAACAAATGTAGATAAATACGCTGGTCTTCGCGTTTGTGCTAAGTAGGTGCGGAAGTGGGCACAGTCGACAGTTTTCCTCCTTTTATTAGGGAATACACACAGCATTTCTACTTCCAGAAACGTCTAAAAAAAGACTATTAGCGGTGTGTATTTCAGGGGCAAAAAGGGTCACCAAGTTCTCTCGACACAGTCGTTTATCTTGGTCTCGTGAAATTATATATTGTTGATGACATCAGGACAAAAATATAAGATTTAAACAAACTTTATAATAATATTTCCATCAATTTGGAGCGTCAAAAACTAGACTTCAATTGGCGTTATGAAAACTACGTAAAGCAATGCCACGCAATACGAGTGGCACTTCGCTTTATTAAAAAAAAACAAAAAAAAACAAGAAAATTTTAACTCATGAGAGAGGTGAGTTCATTGGGCATAACGCCCACATCCAAGGGCCGCGTGCTTCCTTCAGTGACATTGGTTTCTTCGCACGCACTGCTTGCGACTGTTCCTGAAGTATCCGTCGGCGCAGAAGCAACCGCTCCTGCAGTCGGCCGTGCAAGCAGGGCCCAGGACTGGCTTCTGGCACGTGGTCTCAGAACAAGTGCTGCTCACGCAGGTCTTGAACGTCTCACCGGGCCCGCATTTGGTCGGCCTCGGGAAAGGTAGAGGTCCTATGGGTCACACATATAAAAATATTAGAAATACTGGGTAGAAAAGCGTCTCCCAGGCTACTTTCAAAATCCCACATGACCTTAGACGGATGGATGGACAGAAAGAGATGACACAAGCTTCTTAATCAAGTGGCGGGTTGCATCACCTCGCCAATGCACGTGCAGAGACCTTTTTTTCACATAAACCATAACTACGGTTGACTTCCGGAGTGGAGCGTTGCGCTAAAATTCCTGCTTCCTCCGTCATAGAAGAGGCCGGAGAGGTAACGCAACTGTTCCTCGAGACTGCAGGCCTAGTTCGAGCTTTCGCCGCTGCGTGAGGAGGGCCTGAGCGCGCGCGAAACTCTCGTATGAAAATATGTTTTGATTTATCTTTGTACTATCGGGGAAAAATGAAATGCGAACAGAGGAGCGCGTGGCTCGCGGTACAGGCTGCGCCGCCTGGAAGTGAGCCTAGGAGCGAGGGTGCGTGGCCTACTCCGACGCGTTCACGCCCCTCCTTCTGTGCTCCCCAAGCTTCAGCAGTGCGCCTCTTAGTGCGCTGAAAGCTATCACTGCTATCTTTGCTGGCTCAGCGCGTGCGGTGCAAAGAAGCTCGCCGCACTCGCCGAGCAGGCAAAGATAGCGGTGACAGCTTTCAGCGCACTTGGAGCGCCAATCGAGGGGCGTGAACACATCGAAGTAGGCACGCACCCTCGCCCCTAGGTTCACTTCCAGGCGGCGCAGCCTGTACCGCGAGCCACGCGCTCCTCTGTTCGCATTTCATTTTTCCCCGATAGTACGTCGCCAGGTTTACAAGGTGGAGGAGGCCACCTGCTCGTTCGTCCAGTCTAGCTTACGTCTCGCACCTCATGATCCCGATCACTCAGGTGCTAAGAGTGGGGTCAAGCGACGAAAGGCAGTTAATTGATTGGTTTGGTGGGTGCATAGCTTCCATCGAGTTCTCAGGTTAATGGTGAATGAAGTGATGTTCCAAATAAAGTATTTTAAACTCGTACTGTAAAAAGATAGAGGACAAAAAAACAAGGGACAAAGGGGAGATAAAAAATATGAAAAAAAACAATGATTGGAGTGTATAAAAATAGGTCTTTGTTCGTATTTTTGTGTCTGCCCTTTCTTCATTCTCTTTTGTGCGCAATTTTTTATACATCATTAGTAATCAACTCGCCCAAGCCCACATATTTTCAAGCTCGTACAGCGAAGGAGATTGTTTTCCATTACACGAGCCTGTGAATCTTTTTTTCTTCTTTCCACAAATGCAAAGAATTCGCATTCATTGTTTAACAATGCTCGAGACGTTTCTCTTTATTACGTTTCACCTTAAATCCAGATACCACCGACGCTGCGAGTTGATGGTACCGAACAGACAGCGTCAAATGCGCACCATCATAGTACCCATGTTGAATTAACCTGAGACTGGGGTAAAGAAGAAACTTCAAAACGTAGAAGAGACAGAAAATAGACAGGAGACGTCGTCCTGTCTATTTTCTGTCTCTTGTACGTTTTGATGTTTCTTCTTTACCCCAGTCTCTGGTTAATTTAACATGGGTAATATTCACCAGCTCGCCTGCACCCTTACGATGTTTTCTACCATCATAGTGTTCGTCAAGTTTTTGTAGGTGTTCTCAGATCACAGAACATATCAAACAGAAACTTATGCTTTTGACGCTCTTGATTGAACCAGTCATTCTTGTTTTTCTGCTCGTTTTTGCCATCCGCCATTGCTGACTGAAACGACTTGCCCGATAATGGTGTTTGTCAAAGTAATCAGGTTCTTTTTTGTTAACATTTATATACTTATTTGGGTCTTTGATGCATATGTACTTAAGTGTGGCTCATATTTTTGTGTTTTTTTTTTTAATGAGTATTTTCGATTGATACTGCTTTGCAACCAATCCTCCTCCCCTTTTACATAATGCCCTTTGAGGGCGATTAAGGTATCCAAATAAACCCATCACCTCCTAACGTTGGCTCTGTCTGGACTCACAATAAACAGTCCAGTCACCGCCAAGTCAAGGAATGGGGGGCTTATGATGTTGATGTTTCCTGCTTCCCGATTGGTCCTTCGGCGTTCTTACCGGTTAGTACCGAAATCTAATTGGATGGCAAAGGTTAATAAGACGCCCGGGATTCGCGAGACCTTGCGTTCCTTAAGCTGTGAGCATTATGTCATAGCAAACAAATTCCCATTCGTTCGTTCAACCTGACACTCCAATGCTTACTACGACGCAGTTTATTACCTATAGACAATTAGAAGCTTAGCGCCCCGACCGGTGAGTCATGGGTCAGGCGAACGCATCGCGTGCATTTTAACGTGTCCTTGACAGGCTTGCGACAGCATGTGCTTTCCCGGCTGCCCTGTGCGGCTGTTTTTGTTGATGTTTTTTTTTCGTGTTTTTCTTTCTGTTAGCAGGAATACAATTACCGTATTTTTCGGTCTGTGGTTCGAGGGCTATACTTTTTTTTAAAGTTGAAATTTTATGCCCTGCGGACTATCAGGCTTGTGGACTATCCATGAATTTTATTTTTCAAGATCGTTCAGGTGCGACTAGACGTGACGAATTTTATGAATGATAGAGTGTATGAATGATTTATTAATATGAGCTTCTTTACTTTATGAGCTGAGAAAGCAGGAGTTTGTCAAGGTGTGCCGCGTATGAAGAGGTTTTGTGTCAACTAAGCCCCAGGTGAGGACTATGCACGGCGTCCGGATTATGCACCGAATGCGGAGTCGCTAAGCAAAAACTTTTTTCGGCCTAAATTGGGCCTTATACACTATAGGTATGGACTATATATAGCCCGGTAGCCCGATAAATATGGTACATCTCAGAACCTGTTCCAGCACACGACCCTGTACTAAGACTTCGTAAAAATCGACGTTCAAACGCCTTTAAGCGCTGGTACGAAGCCTTGGCGCTAACAAGAGCCCGTTTTTCTACTACACAGTAATAAAGAAGTGTTTCTTCACCACAAATATACAATACGCATCGCAAAACCCTCATTATGGGCCCAAATGTAGCGCTAGTGGTCCAAACCAGATGCCACACTTTAAGAAACAAATCCTCGCTACTTCAGAGTTTTTAACTGATTTTCGGAAATTTGCGATGGGAAAATGGCTGAAGTTGAAAGGCGCCAATGCCCGAAAACAGACGAAAACGAGCCAAATTTTCCCATTGAAATTTCCCGAAGCTGCCTTAAAACTTTTGAATAACATAACGGTTAGTCCGGAAAATTTCGCGTCTGGTTCGTATAACTAGCTCTAAAACGTTGTTTTTCTTTTGTGTAATTACAGCCCCTTAAATGTTTTTGGGACATTCCGTGCAAAAGAACAAAACAAAACGGGCGGCTTACCTTTACCGGGAAAGGCACACACAACGGCCAGAACACACGCCAAAAACAAGGCCGCAACGATGGCTTTCATGGTTTCCTAAAATCCTTCCTCGAGCGGAATGATGGACACCAGGCTCAAAAACGAGCCTTTTATAGAAAACAAACGGTGTCCGACCTTGCGTCCGTGAATATTGTCGTCACAGAGGTTGCGCGGTGTCTTGCGCGCGCGTTGCACAGCGGCACGGCATAGAAGGGATTTGTTACCCGCTGGGCGACCACTTGACTGCTCAATGTCCTTATGATTGCAATATCGGTTTGGACATCTCGAAACCGGTCATACGCCTCGTGGCTCCTACGGTGTCTCCACACTTCTACTTGCTCGACGAGTTGTCAGGTGTTGCTCGCGCGGTCCACAGTGCACAGTAGAACCAGTTAGACTTTTACGTAAGCATTGCGTCTTTTGCTTTTGCTTTGGGAATTCACACCCAAGAGGTGGAAAGTGATCCATCATACTTACAATATCCGCGTAAGTCTCGGTGCTTAATAAGAAATTAAGATTCCATGCTTCTCACTCTTGTCGAAAAAGGCCGGGAGAGGGATGATTGGTAATTGAAATTACCTTTAGGGTAATTCAGAGGAATTTCCATATAGGTAATTCCTCCAAAGTTAATTGCCACGCGGGTATACGGTAATGTCGTCATGCAATGTGTCCCTACGAGAAGTAATTGATGGGTGAAATACCTACGCTTGCTATGTGTTAGCCGGAGTGGCTTGAAAGGAAGAACGTTGTAGCCAATGTCCATTTATTTTAGCTTTTTTTAATACCAGATATATGTTCTTACAGCGGCGAGAAGAAAGGGTCAGAAATTAAGTGTGTGTTAACTAAACGTTGGACACCTTGAATGATTCCTATAGTCTCTGACTTCTAAATAAACCAGGGGCGTGGCTTATGTTTATGCTTGTTCGTGACTTGTTCGTAGGCATTCTAACTAAAAAATGACGCAATCTCATTGGTTGGACAGCAATAATGAGATGTTCGAGTCTCGATCACCACGCCTTGCGCTTTTAAGCTCTCATCGATTGTGGTAGTGCTTTGACTATGCTATATTTTAAACGAGAACTAATAACCCTAAGAAGTATAAAAAGATTACCTCTGGTTCCCCGAATAAAATCTTTAGATTAAACTGATTATCATTGGGTTGTGTGCGATCAGGGTTAGCCTCAATTGTTTCCTCAACTGTGCCCCTCGAAGGCAAGAATATATAAATGTGCGAATTTTTTTTATATTACGAAAAATGTATATTATAAGGAGAGTTATGCAACAATTGACTTATAAGTGAATATACCAAAAACTCCACACTCTTATGGTGTAAATACTTGCAATCTAAATTTGTCTCTCGAAAAATATTATTTCACATAATAAAAGATCTAATAATAATAATAATAAAAAAAATAATAATAATAATAATAAATCAATCAATGTTTATCACAGTGTCGAAGAACAACCTCGCGGTTTTGGTGCTGGCACACTTCAATCTACAAACTAATAAATACACAAAAAACACAATTTTACACAAGAGCAAACAAATGCCGAAGGGTAACAAAGATAGGAATAATAATGCTAATAGTTATAATAATAAAAAGAATATTATTAATGTTAATATTAATAATCTTGCGCGTAATATACAGACAGAAATGATACAGTGCGGTAAAAAGGCTAGCCTGTGGTCTTTAACGTGCATCGCGCATTGTGATACACGGCCGTCCGCTGGTAGGATCGATGCTCATCCAGATCAAAACGGGGATTGAGTCCAGAATTTCTGGGTTCAATCCCAGTTATTCTGGGCTCGGAGCACATGAAGCAAAAGCTTTCGCTCCGCGTGCTCCCAGCTGGTGTGCGCTAGCCCACCAGGCCACCGATCCCCTTTTACAGAATTGTTTACTAACAGTTTGAAGACACGAGAGTTGGATCAATGCGAGCGATGTATGTACACATGCTTATATAGCCAACTTTCTACCAAAATACATTACATCTGGGAAGACATGCCGTTAAAAATTCATTTGCAGTCTAGATTGCTCAAAGTTGAGAAGAAAAAAACACGCTAATACTCAGTGAGGCGATAAAATGAATATACATTGCTAAAGTGCGGAACGTGCGAACCCTCCAGATACTCTGCCCGTAGTATAGAAATTAAGTGCAACTTTGCGACCCTTGACCAGGCGTCACCTAATTATTATTCTAATGCTAGCGATTCTGAAGTGGCAAAAAGTCCAGCAAAGTTTGTTCATAAATTATTTCACGCATGTTTAGCATTCAATGTCTACTCGGTCATATCTGTCTTTGATCACCATAGTGCATACCGGCATGAAACAATGATTATCTCTGCCGAATCAACTAGTGTCCTTTCATGTAATCGTAGGAATTTCAGAGTGCACCAGATGGTGTGTAAGTTCAGTTTAAAAAAGAGCCTTTCCACACAAAATAATGTTGCGTTCGTGCAGAAAATAAAAACATAGTTGAGATAAAAACACTTCCGCCGCACAAATCACAGTTTAGCGACCACGGTACAAAAAAAACCTTTGTACTGTTGCCAAACTTTAACAGGGAGTACCTCTCTGTGGAACCTGAAAAGGAAGTCCTTTTATGATGTTACAGTGGGTAACATTTTTACAGTATGAAGTACGTCGTTGTCAAATGGCCGGTCTGTCGTATATCGGTAGAGCGGAGAAGGAGTAAGTGATGATATTGCTGCCAAATAGAACTGCTTGCGGCTTGCTTGGAGCGGAACGTCCGATGAAAATAGGCTTTGGAGCAAGGGTATTGACTGAATCACCTCTTTATGAAATAAAAATGGTTGCAAAGAGACGTTGCAAGCAACCAAGGTAATGAAAAGCATTACATTTTAATGGTGGGCCTTTTGAGCCCCAAAATATAGAACACGGTGAATAGTTAGCTATAAGCCAACATTATTAGACCTATTCCTCCTTTTGAAAGCCTCAGATAAAGATTTGGCTTTTTGATTTTCTCCGTTGAATACTTCCATAAAAAGGCAACTCAGCAATGATGAATTTTCTCCTCAGTGCTCGCTGAAAAAGGCATCATTGTTCGAGATAGTGGCTGGCAGGATAGGATATGGCGTTGTTCAGGCAGCTTCAAGTAACGAGAGGAATATGTTGGTAGTAAGATGCACATTCATGAAGCTCTCGACTAGCACCCAAGTAGCTTGTCACTGATTCTTTCCATTTGATACCCATAAACTCGGGAGGTTCGGTTACCTCCTTTTCAAGCACCACATAATTTTCTTCGAGTTAATGACGGTTGGGAGACTTTGCTGTGCGCCTTTACGTGTTCTGAAGCAATTTGAACTTTCTTGCTTTGAAATGCATATGAAGATTATGTCATCAGCCTAAGTCAGAAATTTCACAGCGTCTTCGAAGAATAAAAAGCAAGTGCAAAACAGGCTACAGCACGGTGTGAAGTACGGTGCGACACAGGGGTTCCAAATATAAAAATGGCGATATCGGGCAGCCTTAACGTACGGATATAAATATAGGAATACAGGATGCTATTGACTCATTGACGGCAAGTTTCATGGTGATGTCAGTGTAAATTGTTGACATCCATTCTTCTACGCAGCTCCAAGATCACTGTGGTTTATAAGTGAAAATAAGAAGTTTCTGTCAACTTTATTGAATGCCTTGCTTAGATCTGCCTGTAGTGTAGCGCGGTTTGTGTAGCCTTCTACGGCATCGCACAGTACGTGCATGCTATGGAGCTGACGTCTAATGGAGCAACCTTTGAAACCGTAACTCTGGTGGTTTCCAACGATATGACGCAGACCCCACTCCAGACGACGAGAGAGTATTGAAGCGATGGTGAGGGAGCAGGCTAGCTAGTGTAAATTGAGCATAGTTGCAAAGTTGTATGAATTGTATGGTCCGTGCTCAGTAGGTTGGTTCAACGAATGTCGGTCACTTCCGGTACTCCCTCAGTAGCAGTTTTTTTTTTTGGCATTAGGACATGTCTTTTTCGCATTGATGGTGGCCACAGATTTTGAGTTTAATATATTCATAGACGCCTGCATGGTAGGTTCTGTGGATGTCTGCAAAGGTTCTATAAAATTCACCAAAATGCCGCCAGGACCTGGGCTTTTGTAAGTTGGATCCTCTTTTATTACCGACTGGATCTCCCTTGACAGTATTGGAGCGTTGATTATTTTCTTCATCTCTTCCGGATTCTTTGGGAGCTAGGCGAGTACTTCATTTGGAACACAGGTCAACGTTTCCGTATTCGCGAAAAGATCTTCATAATAGATTTCAAAAGCTACGTATACATCTGATTGAGCGATATATCTGATTGAGGGGAGGATATTTAATTATTACAGCGTACGGTGCTTACGGCGTTTCGTTTACACTCAAAACAAAATCTGGTCGTAAAAAAACGCTTACGGGTTCTTCGTCTTGTCCATGTTTTGCACCCTAAAAATTTATCCTAAGCTCCCCATAACACGGTTCCGATCGAAAAGTCTCAGAATTTCTTGATGGTCCATCATACTTTCTTGACGGCCCATCAGATCTTTTTGGTGGCCCATCCGACTATTTTACGGACCATCACACCTTCTTCGCGAGCCACCTTACCTTCTTGATGATCCGACAGACCTAATCTGATTGCCCAACATACCTTCTTGGTGGAATCAGACTGCTTTGATGGTCCGACAGGCTTACTTGATAATGCCTGATATGCCATTAAACATTTCCTGATGGTGGCTCATGGACCCTTAGAGGCTGATATTTGTAGTTCAGAGACCGTCAAAACACTTCGTGGTGTGAGTGACGGGCCATCGAAACATTTTAGTGTTGCCCGGTTGAGACCATCAGGATATCTCGATAGACCATCAGGATATCTTGATAGACTATCAGAATATCTCGATGGACCATCAGGAGCAAAAAGGTTGATGGCGCTTCTCATGACATCTTTCAGTGGTGGTGGAAAGGACCCGACATTCTGGAGGTTCCAGCAGAGGCCGAGGGAAGCCGCCAATGATCTCAGAACGTCGCGCATGCATGAATTACGTTCGGTTTGGAAAGCTAACAGCGGCGTGGC